TAGTAGTAGTAGTAGTAGTAATAGTAGTAGTAGTCGTCGTCGTAGTAGTAGTAGTAGTAGTAGTAGTAGTAGTAGTAGCAGTCGTAGCAGTCGTAGTAGTATAGTATAGTATAGTATAGTATAGTATAGTATAGTATAGTATAGTCTAGTATAGTACAGTATAGTATAGTATAGTACAGTAGTGTATAGTAGTGTATAGCATAGTATAGTACAGTATAGTATAGTGTAGTATAGGATAGTATAGTACAGTATATCATAGTATAGTATAGTATGGTGGTAGTCGTAGTAGTAGTAGTAGTAGTAGTAGTAGTAGTAGTAGTAGTAGTAGTAGTAGTAGTAGTAGTAGTATCAGTAGTAGTAGTAGTAGTAGTAGTAGTAGTAGTAGTAGTAGTAGTAGTAGTCGTCGTAACTGTAGGCGTAGTAGTTGGAATAGTTGGAGTCGTACTACAAGGATGATGAGGAGGAGGCACAGATGCATGGAGCAGGATGGAAAGGGAGGAGGGGGATAATGAGGTGGAGGAGAACGATGAGGATAACGAGCAGGAAGAGAAGGAAAAGGAGGAGGAGAAGGCGGACGAGGATGAGGAGGATTATTAAGAAGAGGCCGAGCCAGGGTTGTTCCTCCACGCGGGTGCCGACTGCTGCTTCGTCACTATCTGGATTGAACTTGCGAGCTCGTCTTTCGGAGTGCGCACCTGGCCTCTTGCGTGCGCTACTCCGCGTGTTCTGACGCCCTCCGTGCCTCCTTCCGTCCCGCTCCTGCCCCCCCCGTCGTGCACCTCCTTCTGCTCCCTCGTGCTCCCGCTCCTCCCCTTCCCCTCCTCCTCCTCGTCCTTCCCCATCTGCCCGGGCGGACTCTGCGACCCCTCGTGCGTGCCGCCCTCGTGCACGGCTGCGCCCTCCCCCCGGAGTCCGCCGCCGCCCCCTCCCGCTCCCCCCTGCGGCTCGGCCCGAGCCGCCGTGGCCCCGAGGCAAGGGCGACGACCGCACCTGGGGCACGGACTCCATGACATTTCAGGAAGCGGCGTCCCGCCCGAGGGAAAAGTGCAGAGTGAGAGGGGTGGGGAGGTGGAGGAGGACCAGTGTAAACCCAAGACTTCGGCGATTATTTGTTTTTGTTATATATATATATATATATATATATATATATTATTCCTCGTAGGCTTCTCAAAAGATTTGTTTTCACTGCGGGACGAGCCCCACAGGACAAACCTTTGAGAGTTTCCAACCGTGTCAGTGCACCATTCCTGGACTGGGTGCCAGCGGTAAACCGTCAACCAGGTAACCGCCCGGGACCTCGTAGAGCTCCGTACACACATAAGAGTGCTGTCCATGCGGACAGTAGGCCCCCTCAATATCAGCTTGAGAACTAGAGAAAGAGATTTGTTCGGGTTTGAACGGGAAGTCAGTTTCACAAATATTTTTGAGTAATGCAGCAGCTAGAAACCTAATAATTTGCAAGCGAATGCGACAGAAACTACTCCGGATTTCAACGCCGCAAATCAACGTTACTGTTGCGACCTGACGATCCCAAACCGTGCCAATGCACAATTTCTGGGACTTCAACGCCGCATATCAACGCTACTGTGACCTGACGATCTCGAACCGTTCCAATACACCATTCCAGGGACGTTAGAGCAGCAATTCAACGCTTTTGTTGCGACCTGGCGATCGCAAACCGTGCCCCTGCACCATTTCTGGGACGCCAGCGCCGCGAATCAACGGGATTGTCGGGCCCTGACAATCCTAAATCTTGCTTGCCACAACACAATTCTGAGACGTCAACTTCAAGAATAGTTGAAAGAAACTGTTGTAAACTATTAGACGAATGTGCGCGGAGCAAAAGCGAGAGCAACATTTTGAAAACGAGCTGCCCTCCACCCGAACAATTCCTGCAAACTTCTGAGACGAATGTGCGCGGCGCTTCGGCGAGAGCCACATATTGAAAACGACCCGCCCTCCATCCATGAGGCCCTTGCAAAGTTGTGAGATGAATGTGCGCGGCGCTACAGCGAGAGTCACACGTTCAAAACTGCGAATTTAAAGCAATTTTCAAGCTTCAGGATCAGAACCGGCCCGCTTTCCCGACCCGTTTCGGGGTGCGACAGGGAGGAGTCATTCATACGGGAAAGGGATTGAGGAGAGGAAATGTGGAAGCGGGAATGGGACGGTTGGAGGGGAAGGGTGGAAGCATGAGAAGGATGAGGCCAGGAAGAGGAGGACTGACCTCTGTGCAGTACCCCTCGGAAGCCCTATTATCGGCGGGAAGGTAGCCCCATGGAATTCACAGGAGATTTGTTCTTGGACCAGTCAGAACACGAGCATCTCCCAGTACCCTGTCAGAGCGTGGGCTTTTTTTGCTGTGCACCCGCACGCAGAACTGTACACTACTGTGCTCAATGGTTATTATCTGATTGGTTCGCACCAATATGTTGACGGTGTGAATATCTACGTTTCGTTGGCAGTGCAAGTGCACCTTTTCCCGCCGCTCTCCGTGTACTCCCATTCCCGTTTGGTTGTTTCGGGAGTCAGTCCTCTTGGGGAGACAGTGGCCGGCGCCTGGATATGCTTCGGCTCATACCTGGAGGCTTGCCTGGAGGAAACTCAGGATTGGGGGGGACCACGTCATGGTCTTCAAGGTGAAAGCTCATGTGACCCAGGCCCAGGCTCGAGACGGTGTCCAGCGTGCCAGACTAACCTTTGGTAATTCGTGTGCCGACGAGGAGGCCAACGCCAGAGGAGGAGGAGGAGGAAGAGGAGGAGGAGGATGAAGAAGAGGAAGAGGAAGAGGAGGAAGAAGATGAGGGAGGGGG